TACCCCTAGGTTCAATCCTCAATACTGAAGAAAAAAAAAAAAAAAGATCTGAAAATACAACCAGTCAGGTAAAACAAATATGTGTCTACAAGAAGTGGATCATGTGATGGGTGTAACTGTGAAGTACGCAGTTGCCTGTGTCTTCAGTGAGAGACTTTTGTGCTCATGATTGCATGGAGGCTGCTGTGCCTCCAAGCCTTATGCTCAAATTCCAGGCAGAGGGAAATGTAAGAGCAAAGGAAGGGGCAGGTTCACAGAGCTGGCTTCAGAGGGTTGGGCAAGAATGAGGCTGGTGCCTTCCTGAGACCTTCACCTGAAGGATAGGAGGAAATGCATCTTCTGGCTCCAGCCCATGGTGTGAGGGCTGCCTGCAGGGTGTTCACTCCTGAGCACTTCACATGCCAATGGAGGAGGGAGGGAAGAAGAAGGTCCTGGGACCACCCACCCACCACTGAAATTAGAAGGCCTCCACCCAGCTTCTGATCCACCAAAGCTGAGCTACAGGTCCCACATCTTCAGGAAGCCTGGCAAAGACCTTCCGCCCACCAAGCAGGTGATGGGGAAGTAAATAGCACCTCCGAAGAGAGGATGGTAGGGAATGTTGCCGCACTGTTTAGCAAAGTGCACTGTAGCCCTGAAATAGCAGTCACCATCTGGTCACATTTGGTTTTCAGGTGCAGATGTGGATTTCGTGTGGACATGTGCAGATGCGAGGTGAGGGTAGGCCAGGGGTTGACATGCTGCTCCGGAACCCGAGTGATGTACGGTATAAAACCCAACATTCAGCGCCCACAGCCTGCTCACATCCTGGTTGTTATCCTGCAGCACCTCAGGCCACGAACCTGGTGTCGGAGTCCAAAATTGGCCTGTACTGACTCCAGTGCGCCCTCATATCTGTGAACGTAGAAGCTGTCTCACATGAATTGCCTTGCAGAATGGAAGATGAAATAATGCATCTCAAGATAGTTGCACTGTTGTTTGAGCTAAAGACAACATGATGAATTTGCTTTTGCTCCTCCTTTTCCTTCTTTTTTTGTACTGGGGATTGATCCCAGGGGTGCTTTACCATTGAGCTACATCCCCAGCACCACCCCCTCTTTATACTAATTTTGAGATAAGGTCTCCATAAGTTATCCAGGCTGTCCTTGAATTTGTGATCCTCCTGCCTGAGCCTCCTGAGTCACTGGAATTACAGGCGTGCACCCCTGTGCCCTGCCACTTTGCTTTTTCTTGTATCCTTTGTGCACATTTGGAGCAAGTGGGAGAGGTGGATCCCATGTCTACCTGGTGTGTTTTCCCGTGCCACCTCTGCAGAACCCATCTCTGTGGAATCTCAAGCATCCATCCAGACAGAATCTGCTACCTGGACTCTGTGGCCTATCGTCCAGGCCTTCAGGAGTCTGGAGGCTTTATGTGGAGTGGGCCTGACTGTCCCTCAGGGTGTCTGGCAGCCTTGTGCTTGGTGGGTCAGCTGAAGGACATGGGAGGAACTCTGAAGAAGCCCCAGGTTCACAGGCTATGTCCTTCCACTCCCATCTCAGGACTGGATCGCTTAGCTCACATTGGGAGGCTCCCAATTCAAGTATCCATCCATTCAGAGTAGCAGAGAAGAAAAAGGTCACATTGCTCCTTCCTTAGGATGGCATATCCCCCCAGGAAGGGGTGGCAAGAGTGGCACAGGCAGAGATCCCCAGGAGGTGACCTCTCGCCCTCCACCACAAATGGCAGGCACATTTTTAGGCTGAACCCATCTGTCAGTAGAGTTCCTTGATGGCAGGGGCCATGTCCAGTTTGCCCAGCTCCTTTCACCCTGAACACTTTGGGATTAGGGACTAGGAACCTGCAGTGTTATTATTTAGCTGCCTCTTGTGTCAATTAGCATTCTATGATCACAACCATAGAGACTGATTCTGAGTAATTTAATCAAAAGGAAATTTATTGGGAAGTCGTTAGAATTCCGAGAGTTAAAAGAAGGCAGAATAAGGACGACTAAAGAGGAGATATGGTGCCCTATAGGCGGGTATCTAACTCTGCTGTGCACAGATGCACCTATCCACCCCTGCTTCAGGCCAGGGATGGGAGGTGGAGATCCACTTCCTGACTGGGTTGCAGTCTCCACCTGAAGCAGGCAGAATCTGGAGACCACGGGCCTATGAGACGCACTGTCTGATGTTAGTGTCTGCAGAGGAGAGGAGTGTCTCCATCCTTTCATGGAATCCTGGATTAGTCACTCCCACATTTCCCCCTCCTCCAGGATCTGACTGTGGCAGGGGTCTCTCCTGTGTCTGAGTCCCTTCCTCCTGAGGCTGCCTGAGTGGGAAGTGGGTTACAGAGCTGCTGATGGGGAGCAGTTTGTGGGTGACCAGTGGCTGGTGCCCTGGACCTGCATGCTGCATCCACCTGAGAAGGGCCAAGAAGGTTAGAAGGGGTTGAGTAAATGCACTCTCCCTTCGTGACTCCGGTCGCCCCCTGCACAAGGCCAGGTTATAAAGATGGCAAGACATCCGATAGGAGCATCCAGGCACCAGGGGATTGTGCCCAGAGCCATGACACAGCATTGGCATGAGCACAAAGACCCAGTTTGTGTGGACACCCACTGACGGCATTGCCCACCTGGACTGAGGTCAGCAGGACTGCCTGGGTGCTCCAATGAGTACACATTACTTTTTAATTAAGAATATGCAGGGGCTGGGGTTGTGGCTCAATGGTAGAGTGCTGGCCTTGCACGTGAGAGAACCTGGGTTCGATCCTCAGCACCACGTAAAAATAAACAAAATATATTGTGTCCATGTATAACTAAAAAAATATTTTAAAAAAGAATACGCAGAAAGAGATTAAACATTGCTTCTAACAGTCCCTTTTGCTCCTCCTTCTGGTCACTTGCAGGAGAGGAGAGTGCATGAGAAAGGAGGGGTGAAAGGCAAGGGAGAGGGTGGACTCCCTGCTCCAGATATCTCCTCTTCCTTCCTGACATACCTGAGGGGAAACTAGAGCCAAGGTGCTTCTGTTCTAGCACTCTTAGCCTCTTCCAGAGGGCACTGGGCTCCCTAGGAAGCGGATCTGCAGGAATGGACAGCTGCCAGCTGGTGAGTGGATTATCTTAGGCTTGCAGGAAAAGATGTTTTATAAATCAATGGTAGCAGAGAAGAACAGGAAGTGTGGGAACATTGTGGATGGTTTTGGAGGATAAGTGTTTAAGAATGTGCACTTATGCATGTATGTGTGCATGCCTGTACGAGGAGGGTGTATTGAACTCGGGCAGCTGGAGGATGGAAACAAGCATTTCTTCATACAAACAAATCATAGCAAAGGGAGGGGGGGAGAATCTCCTTCTTGGATCTTGGGTGCAGAGGATGGATTTGAACACCCAACACTGTTAGTCCAGCATCCCCGACTGGCTCAATTGTTTGCCCTCCCCTGCCTCATGACTGTTTATATGACCAGGCACTGTTTCTTCGGAGTGTTTACCACAAAAAATTTTTACGTAAGTATAAAATATACAATGACATTGTAATGAGTATGTAAATCTTTATAGTGTCTAGCCTGATTTCTTTATTCACATGTCTGTCTCGTGTCTCTCTTTCCACAGAGAATATCTGTAACATCCTCATGTTCCTATTGCTCAGGCAATAACCATGTGCCCCACCCTATTAGAGGTAGTGACATCTACAGCAATGAAATCCCTTGTGTCTGACATCCCAGGAGTCAAGCTCTCTCTTTTGCTAGACTGTAAGCTCTGTGGGAGGAGGGTGGGTCTCCTCTGACAACGACCTGTCCAGCACACAGGGTGTGATACATGGTTGTTGTCTGCCCCAGTTGCTGTCCTCAGCCTGAGCCTGGGCATCTCTGGGGCCAGCTTCCTCACTTGTTGCATGCTGGCCCTCTTGGGATCACCCAAGCCAGCAGGACTTGAGATGTTATCAGCACAGCCCCTCAAGCAGATCATAAGTGAAGGGACGTTGTATGCAAATATAGAGGGACTCTGACACAAGTGACGCTACAGGTCATGTATGCACATGTGCCCACCACACCCCGTTCAGGGTTCATTCCAATAAAGCCACTCCTAGCTGCAAGTAGCCGGCAGTCCACGGCGATGGCTTAAACATGTTTTTCTTGTACTTGGTGCTCTGCAGGTAGGCAGCTGGAGACACTGGTTTAGCAGCTACACAATGTCCCTCCACGGCCAGTGACTGCCATAGTCAGGTCCTGACCTGGAAGCTCACCCCCAACCTTTCACTATCAGGACCATGTTGTGCCACTCCTGACAAATCCCTGGGCTGTGACTGTCTCAGAGTGGCTACTACCCTCTTGGATCAGACAGAGTCTGTTTCCTTGAGGTCACGGGGCCTTTGACTACCACTGAAAAAAAGTGAGGATTCACTAGCAAGACAACAGACAGCATTTGCCCTGCAAAGGTAGTAGTGGCACACCCAGGTGGTACTGCTTTCACGTGACCATTACCAAGGAGCACCTGGCATGTGACACACCATCTGTTCATGCAGGTGGTCAAAAGTCACAGCCAAGTGCAGAGGCACACGTGTACAATTCCAGCAATTTGGGACATGGGAGGCAGAGGCAGGAGGATCAGAAGTTTGAGGCCAGCCCCAGCAACTTAGGAGGCCCTGTCTCACAATAAAAAATAAAAAGCGGGGCTGGGGTTGTGGCTCAGTGGTGGAGCGCTTGCCTAGCATGTGTGAGGCACTGGGTTTGATTCTCAGTACCACATATGAATAAATAAATGAAGGTCCATCAATAACTAATAAAAATTTTAAAAATAATAAAAGGGATGTAGCTCAGTGGTAAAGTGCCCCTGGGTTCAATTTGCAGTATTAAAAAAAGGTACCTTTCCACCGAGAAAGCCAATGGTGAAGGCAGAACATGGATGGATCACCAGCCTGCCAAGACCAAGGAACAAGAGGGTGGAATGGGGCTTTAAGGACAGGGTAGGCCACTGAACGGAGGGTAGATTTTATCCTGAGCATGAGACACAACCTGATAGATGATAGTAACAGATCACTTTGGTGTGGAAAACAGCTAGTACAAGACATCAAAGGTGAAGCTGGGACACAGGAAGGAAGCATGCAGGAGGAAGGAAGAGCTTGAGAGGTAGATGGGCCCCACAAGGCTGGCTCAGGAGCTGCTGTGTGCTCTCCTAGGAGCTGGCAGGGCCCTAAGCCCCTTATCCTCACCTGGAATGTGCACCTCATCACCTGACTCCAGCAGGCTTCTAATAAAAATTAGGCACCAGCTTCTGCTTCTCTAAGAACATTTCTTCAGGAGAAAACTTGTCTCTCTCAGGCATTTTGCATCTTGAGGTCTTCTGGTCACTGCGCCCTCAAGCCCTGCCCACCTGTTCCTGCCACCTAAAAGCACTTACTGATCCTGTGAATGGATGTATCCATGTTTGGGGCTGATGTTTACATGCATGTATTGACATGCGCAGATCACTGGGGGTGGAGAAGCTTCTGGAACAAGGACACCTGGATTCAAATCCCAGCCCAACCTCTTTCTGGCTGAGTGATCTTGCACCAGTCCCTGACTTTCCTGTGCCTCAGTTTCTTTATTAGTAATAGGGGAATATCACCAGAGTTACCACAAGGAGTAGCTGAATTACCATACCTGCAAGTCTTAGTTGGTGTTATTACATTATCAGGCATAAACTCCTCCACATGCCCTCATGGTGATAAACCACCACGTGCCAAGGGCATGGAGGGGGCCCTAGGTTGGCCTTGGGGGTCTTCCCTGTGCACCTGGTCAGTGCCCTCTGGGCTGGAGTTCTGGGCATTGGCAGCAGACTGGGTAAGGAGTACATCTGGGCTTGCAGCAGATTTGCAGGGAAGGGTCCTGACCCCGGGCCATCTGACTAGGGCCAAACTTCATGGCTGCATCAAACTGGGCCTTGAGCAGCTGAAGCTGCTTCATTGCCCGCAGCACCTCTGGGGTGACTTCAGTAGTACCCTCCAGAAGGTTGTAGTTCTCACCAGGGTCCTTAGACAGGTCATAGAGCAGAGGGGGCTCGTGAGCAGTCAGCGGGCTGGTGGCATGGCAGGCAGGGTCCACAGTGGTGTCACTATGGGCAGAACCTGGGGAGGTGGTCAGCTCTATGCACAGGGCAAGAGCAAGAGGAGAGGCCAGGGCTCTAGGACACTGGGTCAACAGGGCCAGGAGAGGGAGCCAGGAAGATGGAGTTACCTTGGGTGTAGAAGTGAGCTTTGTATTTCCCACTTCGCACAGCAAAGACCCCATGGATCTCGTCTGGGTAGGCAGGATAGAAGAAGTGAGACTTCCGAGGGCTCTGGGGGCACAATCGGGGTTGCCAGGTAGGAGGGTCCCTAAGAGCTGTCAGCCCCTGTGGTAGGCCCTGGCTGTACAGTCCCTTCTGGCCCACCTAGGAACCTGATAGGTGGTACCACTCAGATGCCACTCATCAAGAGACCTGGGACAGACTCTAAGGGAGAACAAACCCATGGGACCAAGGGCTCACTAACCCTACCTTGCCTGTGCCCAGCAGCACAGGGCTGAGGTCAAAGCCATCCAAAGTGACGTTGGGCAGTGAGGTCCCACTCAGGGCTGCCAGGGTGGGCATCAGGTCCAGAGAGCTGGCCAGCTCATGGGTCACACCTGGGGCAGAGGGCTATTCAGTTATTCAGTTAGCCATCAAGGTTGGGAAAATGAGGCCAAGGAGAGGGCCTGAGGACTGACCAGGAGCGATGTGGCCCGGCCAGAAGGCCAAAGCAGGCTCTCGGACACCACCCTCGAAGGTTGTCCCCTTTCCACATCTCAGGAGACCAGAGCAGCCACCACGGGACATGCGCATCGTCTCAGGTCTGGGACATACAAGGTTATCAGCAACAAGCAGTCCCAGGCTTTTGACCCACTTCTGGTGACCACCAGCCCCACATTTTTCATTTATACATCCTGCCCCAAACTGGCCACTATATTCCTGTCTCCACCCTGGCCTACCAAGATCAGCATCCCTATGCATCTGTGGCACCCAGCCTAAAACCCGGGAGTTACTGTAACATGGCCACCATCTCCTGACACCCCTTCATCCCATGATGTCTTCAGCCAGCAAGGTGGAAGGATCCTCAGGACCCTGGTGTATGACTGAGCAACAAATGTTCCCTGCCCTGACTGGCATACCCATTGTCTGCAGTAAAGATGACCAGCGTCTCTCCGAGCAGCCCAAGGTCCCCCACGGCTGTCATTATGGCCCCCACAGCGGCATCCAGCTCCATCAGGGAGTCCCCAAATGGCCCGCGACCCGAGCGCCCTGTAAAGCTCTTCCCACTGAACTGAGGATAGTGGGTGTGCTGGGGGTGAAGACTGGAGTCAGCATTTGATAGGGGTCACTGTCAGCTGGGAGGGGAGGGCCACGGTCACTCACATGGGAGGCATAGTAGAGGAAGAATGGACGATCTTGGCGCTGGGCGTCGGACATGAGGTCTCGGGCAAAAGCCACATAGCGGGCTTCTAATCCAGGCAGCCAGGGGGGCTGTGCTTCCACAGACAGATTGGCCAGCAGTGGGATAGGAACTATGCCCTGGTCACAGCCGCCGTGACATGGGGTGGCTGGTGGGAAGCAGGTCATGTTCTGGCAGGGGCCCTGGGGACATATCTCCAGTCAGGGGTCTGGGATGTGGGGTGGGACTGGGAGAAGGTCAAGCGTTTGAGGATTAGAGCAAGTTGGGGGGTGGCTGAGGGCCCCGGGGTTTGTACCTGGTCATGGGAGTACGGGATGCCCAGGAATCGATGGAAGCCCTGATTAGTAGGCAGGAAGGCCCCTTGTGGTCCCACCCCAAGGTGCCACTTGCCGGCCATCCCTGTAAGGTAGCCACTGGAGGCCAGGACCTCAGCCAGGGTCACCTCTTCCAGGGGCAGGCCTCCCCGGGAGCTGGGTTCCAGGACTCCAGGGTACAGGCCCATCCGGACAGGGTGCCGGCCAGTGAGGAGGGCAGCCCTGTAGGACAGGTCACAGAGTCCAGGCATCCAACAGAGATGAACAGAGGTGGGAGCAGAGAAAGAGAAGAGAAAAACATGGATTTCCCCTCTGCCATCCCAGGCGAACCCAGGAGAGCAGGGTGGGGTGGGGGCCCTCACTCACCTAGAGGGCGTGCACAAAGACACAGGCACGTAGAAGTCGGTGAACCGCAGCCCCCCTACAGCCAGCTGGTCCAGGTTGGGGGTGGTGGAACTGGGGTGCCCATAGGCGCCCAGGTCCCCGTAGCCCAGATCATCGGCAAAGATGAGCACAATGTTAGGCGGGCTGTCGGCGGCCAGGCCTGCAGCCAAGGCCACACAGAGGGCCCACACCGCTTCCATGGCACCGTGCAGCCAGGCCTGTGCAGAGAGCCTGGGGAGAGAGGCACACTGTCCCTGCGGGTTCTTCCCGGGGACCCAGGCCCAGAACTGCCGCCACCCTCAGGGACCCCAGCGAACCTGACAGAACCCGGGAGACACGGCCTGCTTGGCAAGCCCACGGCGACCCTCGGGGGCAGGACCCTTCGCACTGACGCCCGGGTTTCAGGCCCG